GCAGCATTGGGAAATTTCTAACCAACACACTCAAACCTCTTAGCCATAAATGAACTGACCTCCATTCAAAGGTTTGATCTGGAACAACTTTTGCTCTCTCTGCCTTTGAACTCTATCATTCTCACTACATTCCCAGTACAGGATTTTGTTACTCCATTCTAGACAAAGGATACTGTTACTACTCTCAGGTTACACAGAAAACACTCAAGTTTGTTGATTGCTATCTTGAAACAATTAAAAGACATATAAAAATTCCTTAGTGTGAGCATATACAAATAATTTACAGTGCAATCTATCAGCCACAAAACCCACTGTAGACTTGGCTTAATATTACAGTCAGAATTTAAGATAGAATACAATACTGATGTCACCATTTATTAGTCTTATCCCTTCTTCCAAACGTACTTTATCACCACAAATCACAGGAACTAACTGCACAACTTTCTGCAAGGGAGTTTGAAGTACAAAAGAAGTTTAATTATAGTGTGTATATAGTCTGAGACTTGAATGTAAACACACAGGCACACATGCTTGCTTGTAGAACATATCGATTACATTGTAGATATGCAAGGCACTCTCAAATTGATGTGGTATGGTACCTAAAAATTATGACATTGTCATAATTGGGCCTAAAACTATAAACTAACAGTATGATGCCATTCTTCTTTTAAAAAGGTTTACATGATCACTCTACATGCACTGGTCACCGTCTGGATAAGATAGTTATCCCATCTTTCCATTGCAAGCTTTTCATACTGGAATCATTCCCACTACTTACACAGCGCTCGGGATGCAGCCTGGATGTGCACACACAGCACCCGCAACACACGCTCACAGACACTCCCAATCTTACACCTGCTCTGAAGCAGTAGGAAGTGAATTCTCAATCTGTCAACATGACCATCTGGTCTATCTGCATATCACGGCTTTCTCTAGTATTCTATGAAGGAATGGCAAGCACGAAGCCAAAATAAAATGAAAAAGCACCTGAATGGGAGTCTCTCTCTTTTCGTTAAAATGGAATAATATGTGGCACATCGTAGCAGTGATCTAACGAATTTTTTAAAAAATGAACATTCCCAACAGCATAATTAAGTGAACAATCTGGCGCAGGTAATGTGGTAACTGGTAATAGTATTGTGCAGGTTTATGGTGCCAGGTACCATGCTTTTGAGACACCTCATCAGCTCGTTCCCTAAGGGATGGGACCTCTGCATTTCTGACCCAAGCAAAAGCAAGTGGGGGGTGAGTAAGCAATAACAACTCTACTAAACCGGAGAGCCAGAGTGTTCATTTCCCACCTCAAAAATAACTGGGTACTCATGCTGCCATTCGGACAACATCAATTCACTTTTAACTCATTGGCTAATTAACAGGAACAACAATTACCTGAGAGAGTCTGGTCACTTATTAGACTTTCAAAGTAAATTTTAAGACTGCTAAAAAACATTTCCCAATTTTAGAAAATTCTTCACCTGCAAAAAAAAAATGAAGATCATTCCATATGATATAGCTTTGGGGCTAATGTCACTTGAAATTAGCAAAGGTCTTTGTTGAATTAAATCTAATTCTGTTTGTTTAACTTTAGTTTTTAAATCTGGTGACCTCAGAGCTTTCGTTGTACCCCACACTAGGTAATAACTACCAAATATAAATGGTGGCTACCACTCTAGGTCGTAAATGTAGCAATCTTCTTCAGTCCACGCAAGGAATCCCTAAAAAAAAAAAAATCTAACCTCTTACAAAATTTAACTAACTCAACTGAGGATTTTTCTAGACTCTGATTACCTTACCAGAAGTTATACAGGAGCAGTATTTTAGAAAAGAAGAAAAAAAAAAAAGAAACCTCTCCAGAAAGTTCTCGGTTGAGTGCCTACTAATGAACAAAGGTTAACTTTATCTAAAAGGTCAAATGCCTGGTGGCTAAGGTTATGACCTTAACAACTTAAATTGTGACCTTGCCACGTGCCGGTATAGTGTAGATTCTGATACAGATCATCTGGTAAAAGCTGGTCATAAATTAGCTTTACTGTTCCATACCCACAAAGAAAACCACTGGCCACAATACCGTAACATAGGCTACATGGAAGGACAACTCAGAGACCAAGCTAAGGGCATAACGTGGCTTTGTTCTTTTATACCTCTAATGAAATGAAACTCTCAGGCTTATGAAATAACTCCAGTTTCAGTACACTAGTTACTATTTATCGGCCACAAAATTAACACTGTTCTAATACCACTGGATTTAAGGGAAAACTTGGAATGTAGTTATGTATTGTATTTTAGTATCTCAATAAGCCTTAAACCACCTCTGCTTAAAAAAAAAAAAAAGATCATGCCCACATTTACTTTCAATATTCTCTAAAAATTTTACTTTTCACCAAAGAAGCTGCCGATGGATGAGGCAATAATTATTGTACCTATTTTTGGAAGCAAAAGATCTCACTTCTGTGGCCGTCGTAGGAGAAAGAAAAGGGACATCTTTTTAGGAGGAAAAAAATACGTTTTGAAAGAAAGAAAGAAAAAAACTACACAAAAGGTAAAAAGGCCACAATAGTTCTGGCATGTATCTTGAAGCACGTTTCAGAGTCTCTGCCTCCTGCCAATACTGGCAAGTTCTCAAAACTTTTAAGGAGGTAAAAACATTGTTTAGTGTTTACAAATCTTCAGTATTATAGCAGATGCTTGTCAAATCAGTTGTATGTAAGTTGACCAATCTACCTCATATTTGTATTGGCAGCTTATCTTCCACAAATAGCAAATCTCAACATCACTTAAATCAAATTTGTAATATTTTCAGACAAAAGATCCTTACTATTTTCTTTTGCAACCTTTCAGCTATGCAGGAGAATAGCAGCCATTACTGATGTCCTGTAGAAACCAATGGCCAGACGCTTGGCCCCTGTTCAGGCATAAGGAGGAATTCTGGGATATATCACGAAAACCAAACCAAAAGGTAGTCTGATCCACACTGCACTCGATGAATTTTTCATAAGCAATAAAGATGCACACTCTCTTAGGCAACCTTTTTAAACATCTTTTCATCAACATCACCCCTTCAGGAATAACGCCAACCAGAAACTTTTGTTAGCTCAAGGATTTGAAGCAACAAGCATAAAAATAAACCATCAACAATCAAAGGTAACACGGGTACTGGGAATAGCAAAAACAGCTGCATTTCTTTTAGATCTAAGGGAAAACTAAAGCCGAACTTAGAATGGGTCTGTCCTGCTCACTATGGTTTAAAAAAAAAAAAACACAGGAATTTCATATTGGGGCTATCTTATAAGAAAGCAGACATTTGATTTACATCACTTGTTGCTACCCCAAGTTCATAGGTAAGCCAATTACTATAATTTAGAAATGATTTTCCTATCTTTCTAAAAGAAAACCACACTATTTTGAATAGTGCTCCTTGAAAGCATTATAACCCATGCTTTTTTTTCTTTGCACCTTGATGCACTTATATGTGCAAATAAATGGAAAAATAAAAGTTAACTTTGCTCTTGCCATAGACAAAACAAATGAATAACAGAATAGTAAAGGGCCACTTGTTCCCGCTTAGGGATCAGTCGTGACATATTGCTTTTTCATTTTTGCTATTCAGAACTGGCTTAATGCAAAAGGCACTCCTTATAATTAAATATACATTTTCAAAAACCCAAATATTTGAGCCACTCACAGAGCACATCCTCTGAAATACTCAACTATCCTCTGCCAACTGAATGCAAATGATGATGTGACATGCTTGCAAAGTTAATTTCTCCAGCTTCTTAAGTAAGGACAGATGGATAACAAAAGTCCTCTTCCTAAACCATATTTTGTGGAAAATAATAGAAAGCAGAGTATCCACTGACCTTTGGAAAAAATAGTTACCATTTTTAGAACTAAAAATCTTTTGCAGAAAAGTGCAATGTTGACTTTACAGGTAGTATCTCCTCTCTCCTTTGTCAAAAAATAAACTCCCACAAATACATGATCTCTGCAAAGAGCCACCGGTAGGACTCTATAACTTTCCCTTTCTTCCATCTGGCTCAAGGAACTGCCATGAAGGCAATCTAGCAAGACTGATATGTACATATAAAAAGTCAACAAGTTACACAAGACCTAAGCTTTTACATAACACAATGAGCCTTTTGTCTAAAAACGAGACGAAAGGAACAAAGTAGAAATTGACTGTTTTAGCCAGTTCTCCACAGTTTTATCCTGACTTGCTATTCTAGATGCTGAAACATGCACTGGTAAAAACATGTCTCCAAAAAAAAAAAGTGAGTTTAATAAAATCCAGAACAACTCCCCTCCAGGTAGTTATCAATAGCAACTTTTCAATGTACTCAGGCACTGTTTAGTTACTTTTAATGTTAACCCCTCTGTCAATTACTTAAGCAGTTTTGTTGGTTGATTGGTTTCTCTGGCTATTTGAAACTACACTAAGAATTCCTAAAACAAAGCTACTCAGCTTGTGTATGAATGTGATTACCTTTCCTTCATAAATGATGAGCAATTTGATAGTATTCTTACCTCCAACTTCTTAATTGGCAAAAGGGTTCAAGAGGCCCCAGTAGGCTAAAAAATACTCCCAGTAGAAAAAAGCAACTAACAGGATTGCCTTGCCATCTAACTAAACGCTCTTTAACTAAATCACTTGCCTGTTAAAATACCTTTTTTACTCCAAAGGTTTTCATAAGGCCTTATCTCCCACCTCATCCAAAAAAAAAAAAAGATCGAAACTTCAGGCCCCTGTTGGGGACTACCACTTACCAAAAGATCTGAACATAGTGAGAATTCTCTCAAAGCTATGCTTGGGCACCTACATAAAGCTGGAACCGGACACAGAAAGCTTCAGGCTGTGCTAACTAGTCTATGAGAAACCACACTGGCTCTAAGTACCTGGCCTGTACCATGGATTGCTCAGGAAAGATCAGGCATATATAAAGTCATCAGGAAAGAAACACACACACACACAAGAAAGTAGAAGGATTTCTCACCATCGCACTTACCTGCTGCATGCACAAAGTATGCCAAATATAAATCGAGTTCCTTAACAGAGACCCCTATGTGATGGGGCTGGACACAGAGCCCTGGATTAGAGCATTGCGGGGACTTTACAAGGCGCTCGCCATCAGTACTTTCCAGCGGAATACCTTTGAACAAGATCACCATAACAAGGTCCAACCTCCAGACTTTATCTGCCTGGCGGAGGCAGTCAATTCTTCGCATCTTGCCTTTCTGGTCTGGGTTGGACAGAACACAACATGGAGGCTTTTTCCCTGTGACTGTAAGAACAAAATCCTCTCGGTACTCAGGTCTGATATCTTTCCGTAACTTTGCCAGAAGTCGAGATGCCCACTTCTGCTTGACCTCTGGTTTTTCACTTAGCAATTCATCCTTCACGGCTCTCTCTTCTTCTTTTGACATACGCTTTTCGTGTTTTTTGAAGTATTTTCGTTTTCGGGCCTGCAGGTTGAACCATGTGTAGGCAAAGGCTCTGACGTGCGGCAGAAGTGCTTCAATGAAAGGATGAAATTCATCCTAGGAGAAGGCACAGACACCAAATGATGAATACAAGGAAAACAAAAAGGAACAGCTTCCATCAGAGGGCCACCTTAAAAGTAATTTCTCCTTTCACATAAAAATTGAATTGAGCACTGCATTACCCAAATTCCACCTACAATCCCTCATGCCCCTTCCGGAAAGAAGGAACAAGGCCATCAGTATCATCTCTCCCGAGCTGAAAGAAGTTGCTAAAACTTAAAAGATATTTAGCTATGTTCCCCAAAGTGCATCAGCCTCTACTGTTGGGCCTAGGGATCCTTTAGACAGTACATGAAGCTTCTCTCCATGCTTATAACAATATATAATCTTAACCCTATTTCAAGGAGGACATATCTAATTTGTCCCTATCTGGACCTCACCACTTGTAGGACAGCCAGGGCCTGGCCGCCAGATTGGCAAATCCTGAACATTTAGATGCCAGTCAATGTTTATGGAAGTCTTAGAGCAAAAATCCCCACTATCAATGAAAGCAAAGGCTTGTCCTCTAAAAATACCTCAGGTAGACTCTGTTCTATTTCACATGCATTTTGGTGGTATCTTAAGTTCTCTCGCAAACATGGGAGTGGCACATAATTTTTTTTAAAATTCAAAAAGAAAATTTTGGCAGGGTCTTCATACAAAAGAAGAATTTGATGTTCATCAGGCTACCATAAAACATCCATGCCTTAGATATAATCTCTGATACCATATGGGAATGAAAAAAAAATGGGAGTAGGGGACATGGAGAATTAAAAAATAAATAAACAAAAAAAAGCATACATGCCAAAAAGCAACTAACTGCATCACAACTCTGTTGCAAATAAATACATTTAATTTACTGATAGGATTGTGACATGCCTTCAGTAATAATGAAAAAAATAGATTAATTAATTTTTAAACATAACATTTCTGCTTGTTTCCACAGAGAAGCAGAGAACCTGGTATGCTCAAGTTTATGAGATTCCAGGAAAAACCCTCACGGACACCTTTTAAAATTTGAAAATAAAATTCAATTGAAACCATTTAAATTTTTCTCCCTTTTTTTACTCAAAATGTCTGATTCTTTTAACATTTAGTTAGGAAATACAAATATTTAAAAAAATTAATTAAACAGTAACCTCTCCACAGGGTTTTCGGAGTACCTCTAACTTTTGATTAACTAGTCCATACTACTCTTACATAACTTCTTTCTGCCACATAACCTCCCCTAAAGGTAAATTACTTACTTCCAAATAAATAAGGATAAGAAAACTAAATAGATGTTTGATGACTTTTTTAAGGGTATAGTGAAAATATTATGAAATGCATTCTTGTTGAGTTTGGTATACTGAACCAGAGCTATGCTTTTGAAATGCAAGTATTGTCCAAAATAGTCAAAGAAAATGTTAAATTTCTTAATGTTCAGCTATAAAATGAGTAAAATATTTCAATAGACAAGTCTGCTAAAAATTTATAAATTATAATCAATCATCTGAGCGTAACAAGTGACTGTTTTTTTACAAAGGATATATATTAATATAATGTCATAAATCACTGCAATAATTGACATTTTTCCTCTCAGCACAAGTTCTATATTCTGTTTCAAGTCGAGCTTTGAAAAATGGCCCCCTTTCAATAAAAGAAATCCAAAGAGAAATAGTTAGCTTTCGTATCATGTGCATTCTTCAAGTGGAAGGCCAAAAGCAAAAAATACAAGAATTATATTATTCTTTCCCATAAACCATTAGCATTTTTAAAATGTGTGATGTTTGAGAATCTTCTTATCCTCACTCTTTAGATGAAAGAAATACGAGGAGAGTCACAGTTTATCTGTTAAGGCATATGCCAAACCACAAAGCATTTAAACATTACTAAATTCTGAGCTCATCCTCGAAATGTTCTGAAACACATAAATTTTAAGTTTGAAACAACCGTTCACTTAGACTGATTTTCTTATAGATTCAGGACATGCTGAGGACCAGCATTCGGCAAAGAATTCCTGCAGTTTACCTTAAATTACACAGTAAGCTTTCACCAAAGGAAAGACTTCATTTTAAAGTCTCAGCCCCATTTCATACTGCAAAAGAAAACAACTTAGTTCCAAAAAATTCACATCTATATCAAAATATTATTTTATTTACAACTTTTTAGTTGAATTATCACTTTAAGTAAACATTCTAATATGGCATTGTAGTTTTTATGTCCAACAATAGTCCCAAAATGCTTTTTAAAACACACACACACACACACACACACACACACACACACACACACCCCTAGGAACTGTGTTTCTTCCTGTTAAGAAGCATTCTATTTACCTGCCAACGAAATGCCTACATATCTCACCCTAAAAATCTGTGAATAAGGCCAACTGTGTCAACCAGTCATTAAGAATAAATAAGTCTCCAGTTTTGCACCAAACGTATTTATAAAATGTTATTTTCCAAAAGTTGCTACTACGTATCATCAGAAATACACAATATTTTGTATAGCTTTACTCCCATGCACATTTACAGCTCCAGTTAATTTTCTTAATTTATCGTTCTCAACCTATGGTTAGAAATATTTCAAACTATCCAAACTTTAAAAAAAAAAGATCAATTTGCAGGAAATGTCCTGGAATAGTCTAAATGATTAATTTTTAAACAGATAATATGTCCCTATAAAGCATGTTGCTGAACAAAATGCCATAAGCTACTATAATACTTCAAAATATTCAAGAGGAAACAAAGAGCATTTTACATAGGTATCTGGCAAGAATGTTCCAGGCCACCAATTAAAAAATAAACCTGAAAACCTGTTTCAAAGGCCATCTTAAATGTTGGTCTGTTTGAAAGCAAGCCAAGTTCAAGCACCTCAGAATATGGATATTTCTGGAAACTATTTTAAAAAAAAACTCACCTATAAATTTCTGCTGGGTTATCACTATTTAGCCAGGTACATGGTTTGTTTATAGAATGTCCATCCTGGAATAAAATATGACGTCTGGCATTTTCTTGATAAAGTTTTTAAAAGTACAAATAAGTAAATAGAGTTTCCGCTTTTTATGTATAGCACTTTTATCACTGGGCTTACTGATCTTTTTTACTTTTTAATGAGCAATAAACTACCTAAGTTTTTCTTTCTGAAACTGGCTCTAAAGCATTATAAATACTCCAGAAAGTTAAATAAATTGTAAATCAATTTTTAACCCCCCATAAAATAAATGATCCTTCATCCAATATTTATTGTACATTTTCTTCACAAACTGTTACACTAAGAAAGCATTTCTCTTAGTGGTGTTTCAGAAGGAGGCCTAGTGAATCCATCAATCAACACTGCCAAATATGTAGTGGGGGGGGGTGGAGAAGAAGAAGAAAAAAAAAAACTTTCTATAGCTCATGAACCAAAAGAGGTCAATTTTGTTAAATACCTGATTCTACCCTGGGCCTGCATGATACACAGGTTTCCTTACACATGCAGGACTCCCAAAGGTAAGTTTATGTTTTCTTAAGAAGACACTGATGTATATTAGGGTCTTCTCTCTCAATGGCAACACACTGGCATTATCTACAAGTTCTCTGGGTGGCAAACTTTTGCCAAGTAGAACTTCAGCCTTCGAATCTCAGCATTTTTACTGCAGTCTATAATTCATTCAAATTATCTTACACTTTGCATCTTATCCATATGCAATCGTAAGCCTTGCCAGAAGTGGTTGGAAAAGTTTCATTCCATACTTCCACAAGTTACTAAAATAAGAACTTTGGAAGTTTGTTGGGGGGGGGGCTCTTTCTTACAATAACCAAAAGCAACTGCTATCCATTATTAATGCTAGGCCTAAATCCCAAACAGACCATTTCAACATAAAAATGCATTTAAGAGTCTTCTGAGATCAAATAGCCACTATCATTACTGCTAGATACTGCAGTAAGAAAGGATGTTGTGGCAAATAACCCCAGAATCTAGAGAGGAGAGAGCAAACAACTGATGCTTTTCAGTTCTTCCCAAGTCATCTGGTTAAACCGTTATCTCCGGCTATATGAAGGCAAGAAGTGAGAGCAGATTTTCGGAAGGGACTGGTGAATAAACATTTTATTTGAAGCTTAATAAGTTTATGTAGGTGCTTAATGGCTAGATCTCAATGTACCAAACCAGTATCAAAACTCACTGGTGGTTTCTTTTTTTGTTCCCCCCCCCCCAAAAAAAAAGAAAAGAAAAATTAGCGCACAACTATTCTGACTTCAGGCCTTTTAGTCAAAGAAAGTAAATACCGTATTGAAAAGGGCTCAGATTTTAGGGCCTCGAAGTAGCAGTATTTTGCCTGAGGGTGGTGCAGGGCTCGGAGGGACGGACTCGCAGGGTGGGGGGGGGTAGAACGGAGGGGCGGTGGGTGCGCAGACCCCCACGCTCCGAGTGGAGTCGGAGGGGGAAAAGTTGCCCCCGTCCTGCGCGCGCGGAGCGGCCGGAATCGCGCAGTGGCGGCGACGGGAGGCGGCGGCAGGGGGGTGGAGGGGGAGGTGTGCGTG